CTTCTTTTTTTTACAAACTCTCGCCTGACAAAGCGCTCGGGAAAAATGTTCTGGCGTTGTTTACCCCGAAGCCTAGTTTCAGAACGCTGCTCTGCTAAGTACTTTCGTCGAAATCGCTTGATTTCTCCGAAGGCATTAGGGGAGGGGACGGGCTCCATCGCATCTACATGCCGACGTAGTACTCGCCACCCAAACGTTATCGAGGCATGACATGACAAATGACGCGATACGGCGCCTCCGTCGAATTATTCGGGAGAAACGCGGACGCGCGCTTCTGGCGCGCACATCATCATGAAATTCTCGTCTCTCGCCATCCTTACGAAACAATTGGGCGGTTCCCGCCGGCTATTCTCTTATTTATCATTTATTTTAATCAAACAACAATCGGATGGTTAAATATCGACCTTCAGTAAGGTTCGTTTTTTTTCTCTTTTGACCCCTCGGGAAAACCACCACCACCACAACAACAAAGAACGCGACGAAGTGAGCATTCCAGACGTGTAAAACAAGGCTGAACTACGTTGGTTTATCTTTCTTGGGGTACAATGATAGCTAAAAGATTCTTCCGGTTACTGTAACTTGCAAAAACAAAACATAAAAGCCAAACCTCATCCTCATAAATTTAGATAAGCAATTTATCGGCGGGTCCATGGTATAGCGACGGGCTGCGAGATGCCGACCGCGGTATTCTAAGAAAACAATTTGGGAGAACACTTTGTAAAGCTGCGCTCACATTGCTTAGACATCATACAAAAGGCAGTCTACAAACACTTTCTAAGGCGTGATTTCTTTTTTTTTTTTTTTTTGTTGCGGTTCTGTTACATTTGTCATACAAACAGCGGCAGCCGCTGCTTTGTAGAAAGGCACGTTGAAGCTAATTCGCCTTCAGCCACTGTGCGGTACAATGTTTTGCAATGGGTTAGAGAAGGGCACCTGGGCGGCGGTAGTGGGGAGGCGAAAGAGCGCGTCGCCACGGCTCGGCCACGTGGGTATTTCGCAACGGCGGCTGCAAAGGGGAGGGGAGGATACGTGGATGCAGAGGAACGATGGGGCGCTTTCCCCCTGATCACGTGGGTATTTCGGCACAGCAGTGGCCTACAGTGGAGAAGTGCGACGAAGGGCCGAGAGAGACAGAGTATTGCCGCAATTGGCGTGTATGTGTGAAGAACGACAGGGAGACGGTAAGCTGTGCCTCTGCATTAGAGTCGGAGTTTTAGCGATCGTACAAGATCAGTTTTTTTGCGAGAAGGGGCACCAACAGCTGGCGCTGTAAAACTGCCTGCAGGCACGTTCCAAGCATACCTACGTACGAAGAAAATTCATGCGTCGAAGAGTCTCAAGGCGTGTCGGCACATAATTCTGTCCTCGTGTCTGCGGAGGAACTCCGTGGCCGTGTTCCAAAATTTACTCGATATTACTCCAGGGTGAGGGTTTTGTACCCTTGGCATTCTAAAACCTACCCGCGTCCAGCGCTTTCAATCTGTGTTGTCACGTGACACGATCCGCCGGAGTAACTCGGATCCATATGGGTAAGATTTGGAACACAGCCCGTGTCCTCTGTGTATGGAGTACGGGCAGTGTTACTGCGGCTTAAGGCGTACCGTCGGCATCAAACGGGAGCATGGGTCTTCCGCGAAAAATCTGAGAGCATTTCACGTTTTTTTACTCCTCCATTAGTTGTGCCAACTCGTCTTTTACATGAAACCAAGCGTGACACGTGTAGAACAGTCCGCGTCTTTGTGTCTTCTGAATCTACGGATTCGTGCTTGCATAACCTGATATGTAGTACAGTCGAATTCGTAAGCCTATAACTTGAGCAAACATATGCTCAGCCTACTCCGAAATATTGAGTTATTTTTCTATGTGCTTGATTATGGTTTTCGCGCTGATATAAACTCATGTTTCTTCTTTATGCCTCCCATTACGTGTGTGCTGATCTTGTTTATGCATTCCTGTGTGTGTAGTGATATAAAACTTCGGTTTATATCAGAATGATCCGGTACTACCTTGCTAAAAACATTTTTTTTTTGTGCGCCAGACATACGTTTATTTGTATTTTTACTTGTACTTTAGTTGGCGTGTATTTCTCTCGAAGGTAGTTAAACTTCCTGTCTCATTCATCGCTCGATAGTCTCACCTTGCACTGCCGATGACAGTACATCGGCCTTAATTAATTGTAGGCTGGTAATTCAAGGTTAAAAAGTTCGCAGAAAATAAAAACACACAAAAAAAAACGAAATGGAGACTTGATATATAAATAAAATAAAGTGGCAATATCACGGAAATGGTTGATTTAAAGATAGTTAATTGAGGAGTTTAATAGATTGGGATTTCCCAGCAAGGTCATATGATGTATAAACTCGCGCTGTTATTTGGCAACTTGATTTAAAGCTCGTGCCCGCAGTAACAATAGACATTAAAATATTTAAAAAAAAAAACTCGCCAATGCGCCTTCTGTGATGCAGTTAACGAGCACAAGGCATGGACCATGTTGCAACTTCAATACGCATAAAGGCCAATTCCACACATTAAAATTTGCCATCTTTGTTGGTGGGTTGCAAACGCAGACTTTCACCAAACTCAGCCCTGAAAAGAATACTAAGCAACGGAAGCCAGATTAACTCAAATCTTCTATACGCTACGAAAGCTTAAACGTTCCTAAGTTACGCTCATAAAAATCTAAAAAAAGAAAAAGAAACTTGCAATTACTTTGTTTTAAAAACATAAATTTGATGACTTCTTTTTTTTTTTTTGTCGCAAGAGCGTTTTGTGTTTTTGCTTTATGACAATCTCGTGCGCATAGATCCCATGTCCCGTTCTCTCTTTGCACACCACGGTCGAAACCATTTCGGTGTTCTATTCTCTCCACCTTGACGAAACAAAGCAGCGCACGATCGCTCCTCTGCCGGAACCAACACCACCTAGACAGAAGGCTTCCACACGCGTCATCATAGTCAGATCGATCGAGGCGAGAGATTGGGCACGAGTGCTGCGTCAGTGTTCGGCTGCGGCTCGTGGCCAATCAGCGCGTCGAAGGTCGGACTCGGGTCCAATAGCCTACCGAGCGCGATCCGACTGTGATGACGTTTCATAGAAGAAGAGGAAACCATGCGGAGGCCTTCTGTCTAGGTGGTGTTGGCCGGAACCCCCGCCCGTGCGCGCGCTGTGTCTTTGACAGTGCTCTTGTTGCTCGCACGGTCGGCGTCCTGGCGCAGTTGTTGCACTGTACTTCGTCTCATTCTATGATGAACTACACCCAGTGCTACGGGCCACAAAGTCCGATCATAAGCTCGGTTCTGTGTTTTCGGTCTTTATTTTTCTTCAAATTCAGAAATAAGTTTTGGTTTTTTTTGTTTTTGTTTTCAACACAGATTCGGTGCTTTTCGTTGTTAATTTTGTTTTTGTGGCGAACAGAAAGTCGGCATTTATCGCGAAGTTTATCGAAGAAAACAGAACACAAACGTGGGATTTTTGAACCCCCAGATTATATGCGTGCGACCCAAGTACTTGGAAATCGTTCCGTTTACGGTAAGAAAGAAAAGGAAACAACGCAAGGGAACTGATTCCCGAAAAAAGAATCACTCTCGTGGAGAGTTCAGCGCGGGGCTGTGCTCTGGGGCAACCCACTGCACAGCTGAAGTTATGGAATTCGTACTGTGAAACTTGGGTTTTTTTCTTGTTCCAGGACAGCTCCAACTCAGGGTGTTTCGGTTCTCCCCTATTAGAATAAAACGGAGGGTTAATTTTCGGAGTTTATCAACCGAGAAAGTGAGAAAATGAGCAGAAGAGAACGCGCGGGGTCGTAAGAACGCTGAGCTCTGGTCGGAATGATTAGTGAGTAGGCGTAAAGCTAGCCGCCTCTATCTCCACTGTACTCGTCTCTCTCGGTTTCTCGGCACATTGGATACCAAAATCACGGAGCCCTAATCACGACCCAGTTAGAGACCACGTGGTATACCGCACCGAAGGTGTTTATAGGTGTGTGTGCGCCTGGTTCTGCGAACTTACACTTGAGCGATGATAATTTTTCTACGAGGGAACGTCCGTGTGAATTTACAGAGGTTGTTTCTGCGAGCCAGAGGTTATTCGAGACATTTGTGGGGTAAGTGTTCGCGGCCCTATAAATCAGTTGCGGCAATTATTTTTCTTTGGCCCATAGATTATTCCTCGCCTACTATTTTCCGAACCATGTTGTATTTTGATGAGGATACCAGTTTTGTTCGTATTAATACATTTTATTGCGCGATCCTCCGCGATGAAGTTGTGGAGCAGATATGAGCAACGCAGCGTGTCGCAAGCGTTCGATCGCTCCGAAGGCCCAGAGGAGCGATCAGTCGCTCTAATTTCGCCGCCGCCACCTTCGCCTCCTTGGCATTGGACCGAAAGAGGGTCAACGCTCCCAGTCATTTTAAGGTCACATCGAGACGGCACTCATACTGCACTAACTCCGTCGCATCATTCATCGTCTCTCCGAAACGAAAAGCCTGTGCGCAGATAACCCCTTTTTTTTTTAAATATTCTCTTTGCAACCCGACCCCAAGGGCGGCATGCATAACAACAAAAGGAGTTGAACGCTTCGAGAGTGTTGCTGCCTCGTCGGCGGTTTTCCACAAAGCCTGTATTGCTCACAACCTTTCAACGCGAACGCCTCCGACTGCAACGCCTCGGCTTTAATGGTGTAGCGAGTCTCCGTGAGCCATTTGTCATCACGGAGAGAACAGAACGAAGAACGAACGCAAAGCTTCTTGAATGGCGAGTGATGAAAACAACTAAAACGAACGAGAAGCTTTCGTTTGCGTAGAAGGATGAAGTTAGAAAAGGAAAACGCGAGAGGGTATAGTGAAGGAGAGGGCATTCTACCGATGTCACGGAGGGGCCTTGCCTCGCACTCCTCCAACCCCAGGCTCGGAGCGAACCTGATTGGCCCTCCACGCCGCCGGAGGCGCGGAAATGACGTCGCGCCCGGGTAGCTTCCGGCCCCGCATAAAAAGAACGGGACTTGGAGCGATCCTTCTCCGCGCGCGTTCGACAGTGTCGTCTGCTTCTCCGACGGGAGCTGGCGCGCAGAGAGAGCCCGCGTGTCGCCACGAATGGTTGGTTGGTTCGTCCGCGATATGCGACGTTTTGCTCGCCGTCTTCGATCCGTCAAGTTTCGCTGCTAGCCGGGATAATACGCAGTGACATGTGGAAAGGGTGTGTGTACAGCAAGCCGGCTTGAATGACACATGTAAGAGGAGCGATACCGCGTTGTTTGGCCTCGACTTCCGGGAGCAGTGTCGTCTGCTATCGCTGCGTGTGCTGGCTTCACTCGGCCCGCTACTGTGCATGTTCGCCTGCTCGAGAGAGAGCCCGTGTGTGCGTGTGTGAAAACGGTGATGACGGTGCAGTGACCGGCATCTCGGATGACACTGAACAGCTCGGCTAAATCGGAAGGTTCTTTCGACGACGGTTCGTACGCCTTCCACCGCTGGATTAGATTGCGCGTGCACGACTGACTGGTAGTGTGGATGCGAGAAAGCACAGTCATTACCGTCATCTAAGCACATGACTATTCCGAACAGACATTGATTCAAAAGTGCCCGAAAAGTTGTTTGAAAGTCACTGTCCTCTCTCCCTCTTTCGAGGCGTGTCAACTGTCTTGAGGATCGCCGATGAGGCGAAACATTTGTCCTTTGGTAGTTCTCGTTGAAGACCTTTCGAGATTTCCGCAAGAGTAGAAGGACTGCGTAAAACTTGCGGATAACGTAATCCCAACACCTTGGGTGAACTGTTTTCCAGCATTTTATTGATGCTCATACCACGTGAAAACAACAACCCGACTGCATCTCAACTACGGACAAGATATTACGCTTCCAAGACGAAGTCTTGAACAAGGAAGTAATCGGCATCAAAACCATCTGATAATCAAGTCGGCCGATGCCAAGATCCTCACCAGGAAGTTAAACAAATTGTGTATCGAATTTCCCTTCCTGTTTTAAACGCTCCGGCTTGTTTCCAGAATGAGCACGGTCTGTTGTGACCCGGTCTTCTTGGAGTCATCCGCTTAACCGAACCCCTCGGGAGACCTGGAGGACTGGACGCGCAGGTCCACCGGCCCCAAGGTGTCTTCGCGCGGCGGCGGCTTTTGCTGCGTCCAGAACATTGCTACCGACGACGAAGGCGAAGACCTGGCTTCTGCGGTGACGGCGACGGCTGCGGTTCGCAGTCAGGCGTCCAGAACCAAAATGGCGCGCTTCCACGAGCTCAAGAGGCAGGCCTCTGCGTCCACGTCGTCGCAGACGTCGTCGCCTGAGCTCCGCAAGCGCGAGGCGTCCCCGCCGCTCTGCACAGTGACGCTCAAAGGTCGCACCGTGGTAAAGAAGTCTTCACCCGACTCTAAGGTGAGCAGAGCCGCTTCAGTCCCTCTCACAGGTGGGCAGGTACCGCTGACGATTGGGCCGTCACGTCAACGACCTTGTCTGCCGTTGAACAAGACGACATCATAAGTTCAAAATATGAAGCTGTTCAGTGAGGGCCTGTAGTCTGCGACAGAATAAGAACTATAGCCCTAACACAACGTTGTTTGCTAAAATCTGCAGTTGAGCGAGAACAAGAGAACACGTGCTCGGGGACGCGAGTATGACGACTCGTATTTTCCGCCTTACCCCCTGCAGCGGTGGCGCTTTTCTCGGACGAGTTTTCTTTGTGTCTGCTTCTGCGCGAGCGCGGTACACATAGCGGGAACGCGACAAAACAGCACGCGACAAAACAGCACGGTCAAAACAGCACGGTCAAAACAGCACGCGTCAAAACAGCACAGCGTCAAAACAGCACGGCGACAAAACAGCACGCGTCAAAATAGCACGCGACAAAACAGCGCGGCGCCAAAACGGCACAGCGACAGAAGAGCACGTGCCAAAACAGCACGGCGTCGAAATAGCACAACGACAAAACAGCACGCATGTAAAAAGGCTGTAATAGGTAGCGTTTTATGCTGTTTTGACGCGTGCTGTTTTGACCGTGCTGTTTTGTCGCGTGCTGTTATGTCGTGTGCTGTTCTGTCATGGTGCCACACATAGCAGCGTCATGAATACGAGAGCCACGTCATAAGCTCTGCTTGATGGTTTCTACTGGATTGGTGGCTTCCACGTGATCGTTTGGCCTCCTTACCAAAACAATTAAAATAAAGAGGAGCTCGGTGCTATAATTTCATTGCGGTTGGTCGATCCTGTCGGACGCGTTAAGGGTGAAATAGGAGACAGGCTAAAACAAACGCAAAAGCCTTAGTGAAAGCAAAAAAAAAAAAGACACTTGCGGTTTTTTTGGTATTAACTATACTTGACGTGTCATACAAAATTTACGATGACACTTCGACGACGCAATCCCACGAGAGATTGAAGAATAATTTGCTTTCTCAGCGTCAGCTCCTGTTTCCTGGTCCGTTTGACACCAAGAAAGGTTCAGCATTTAACGTAACATTTAACGACCAACCCGTGGCAAAAATAAACACATAAATAAATAAAGTGCTTTAGCGGAAGCGCAAACCGCTTTCGGATTACAGCAAACCTATCGACGATTGTTATCGTATTTATTTCTTTGTACGAAGATCGCATTCTGCGCGCCAATGCGAAATACTATTTTGGGTGTTTAAAAGTATTTCGCAGTTTGATTGCAGCCAATACCGCACTGTAAACGTGAAACAAAACTAAATTAAAAAAAAAAAGGAAACGTTTCGCGAATGTTCTTAAAAAATGCTTCCAATACAGCTCAAGTAGGCCAACGAGCAACCGAAAACTATCGTGGTCCCTTACTGCAGAACTGATTACTTAAGCAAATTGCAGGGCTGCAAATTGAAGGTCGAGGCAAATTTGTAGAAACCACAGGGTTGATTATCTATGAATGCGATAGCATTTATTGTTGCACACCACCAAATTTAGCGGGGTAACTGAATTGGTTCAGATGTCGTGACGTCAATTTAGCGGTGAGTTTCCCTGCTAAATTTAGCGACGTCCTCTAGGACGATGCTAAATTCTTGTCGTCCTTGATATCACCCTAGAGGTCGTCCTTAAAGTCGTCCAAGAAGTCCTTTTTAACGTCGTCCTCTAGGACGCCATCCTCGAAGTTGTCCTCGACAATGTAGAGGACGTCAAAGTCATCATCTGGAAAGACCTCTACGACCACCTCTAGGGCAATCTCATGGACGACCACTAGGACGACGTCCTAGAGGAGGACGTCTAGGACGACCTCCAAGGTTACCTCAAGGACGACCTTTACGACAACCTTGAGGCGACGTCGAAGACGACGTCAAGGTAGTCAGGTGCTTCGAAAAGGGTGCAAACGTGAAGGAGCGCGTACTGTTGCTCCGCATACGCTCGACGCAACGAGGTGCAGGCACAGGGAGCTGAAATGGTCTATTGCGCATACCTACTGCACATTAGGCGGCCAGATACCAGGTAGACGGAAATCTACGATGAGTAGCTTAATCATGCTATCGCATTAATAAAAGGCAACCGGAGCTACCTTAAGGCTTTGGCGATATTGTCACGCAGTATTACGCAACGCCATCAGTAGCCCGCTGATGCGTGGCTCGCATAACACAGGCAGCTCATTAGGTTGCAGTCTCGACCAAGTATCATCACGATTAACGATGGCAGAGGCGATGTAGAAGCTATCAATTTTCGGGGTAAAAGGTTGACTCGGGCCAGTTTAATTATTTAAACTCGCGATGTTTAAATGATTAAACGCGGTGGCAACGGTGGATCCCTTTTTTTCCCCTTCGCAATTTATTTTATTTACCTTAATTCAGACACTTTTATGATTCCTCTCGTGTTAGTCGGGAAATAACTTCGATACTCGGAGTATTCGCGTGTGCTCACGTGGCTTAGGCGTTCGTCAAGTCCGAGAACCCGAGGAGATGAACTAGGTTTCGCATTAGGTGCGAAACGCAGCCCACTATAGGCTCCGATGGAGCCAATCAAAAAGCACCAAAAGTGCATCGTCACGCAATTTTTTAATAAAAAAAAAGATAAAAAAGGGAGGTACCGTAAGAACACATATAGCCATGTTCAGCGCTCCAAACCAGAAAGAGCATATCTAAACCTTTTACAAAACCCGTTACAAAACCCGTTACAAAACCCGTTACAAAACCCGTTACAAAACCCCCCTTTGGCCTCCACTTGGAGCACCGTGAAAGCTGCACTGCGTAGAACCGCGGGAAGGCGTCGACTCGGAGCTGTCCTCGGGAAGTCAGCGTCCATTACTCACAAAAGCGCTCGCGCTTCCACAGTGCCGGATGCTGTCTGTGTGTACGGTCACCGACAGATGAGAACGGCAGAAAGACAAGTTTACAGTAGATGGGCTTACGCCCCGTAAGCCGATCTATTGTAAACTTGTCTTTTTTCATTTCTCGCCGACTCGGCCACTCCTGCAAATTGCATTTTGACATTCCCAGGACTAGTATTTACAAGTTCTCGCCGCATCAGCTTACTATTTTTTAATTACTGGAAGACACTACCCGAAGATAGTCTCAATAGACGCACAGGAATTCACCGATAATGTTGACGTTCATCTCCAGCTGTGATACGTTCGTTATTTTGTATATTTAGCGTTCTTTTATTTTACCACCAACCCGCCAAATGCCCCCCCCCCCCCTTCCTTTCCCTTTGTAATACCCCTCGCAGGTTTTAAGAGGAACCAATAAATGAAATAAAATGAAAGGACGTGATTAATTAAGTTAGAAGACTACACCCCTAACAACATCAAATAACATGTAGGCTATCGCTCCCCGATTTAGCTTGTCTCCACAAAGCTCTGCTTTTGCGCGAGGATGCATAATTGATACGCGCTAATTATACCGAAAAATCGCTTCTCGTATGGTGAAGAACTGAAGGCTATCGACCGTTCTCTCGAAATAAATAGCCGCAGGCCAGAAAAACGTCCAGCAAGAATCGAAGCTGCGACGTCTTAACGTCCGAGGTAACTTTCTTGTTCTTGAGGCGATAGCCGTTTCTGGCGAGGTTTCGCAGCGGATCCCACGTGTGCTTCGAAAACCATAATAAATTTGAAAACCAAGCTAGTTGGTAGTCGTTATACACGTTGAAGCAAAACAGCGCAAAAAACAAGGTCAAAAAGACGATCGAGGACCGTGTCGGGGCCTGTCCTGACGTGTATATGCTCCTCTTTTGTCTTCGTCTTTTGCGCTGTTTTTGTTCACCATGGTGTTTCGTAAACGTGCGTCGTGCCCGCTAAATGTAGCGAGAAAGGTTTTTTCACCAATTATTACGGAGAGGCACAGTGTCACGTAACGTCATATCACATGTCGTCCTAATTTTTGCGCTAAACCCAACTGGAAACTTGTTCGCTGTAAAGGACAAAACAGATAGTGACCTCAAACAGTCCGAGTACTGTACAAACAGTACGACGAAGAGCAGCAAATTTACCGAGCGTTTACTCTTCTCTGTCTCCGGTCAAGAACCGTGACGACAAGTCCGTGCCCATAAAACGGACAAAGAAAGAGTGACAGGCGGTTTCGACACGGTTCCTCCTCCGATAAATGTGTAGGGCGTCGGGTGATTACGAAAGAATGGACGAGCACGGTGACGAATTATCGAGAATGCTTACCGCCAGCTCCAATTCGCCTCAGTCGTCGACTCAAGGGCCGACCCGTAGCCTCGAACCGCCAAACGGGGGCCAAGGACACTTGTCCGGTTCAATATCGCCGTGCGGCGCCGGTCAAGTCACTCGGCCTATTTGTCTCTCGGTCTTACCGCTTCTTTTGCAACCATTATATGAAGCGTTGCTTAACCTACAATGGCGACCGTCTTTGCAGCGTCACTCGCTATTCGACTTTAGGGGCTCGTGAATGGGAAGGCTGAAATGTGTTTTTATATACCAGCGTCAAAGCTGCGGAAACATGTTGAGAAATAAAACGTTCTGGACTGTTTTCATTGACTAGACGGTACAGTGCGGGACACGGTTAGGACGAACGCAACACTAGAGCTCACTAGCTTATTAGTCTGACAGTATTGCCGAGGCTTAGATTAATACCCCGAATGAGCAATTTTCAGCACACTATGTTTTTTTGATAAACAAATCCTTTTATGCAAATGACTAGTAGTTTTGATTATGGCCTTTCAATTATACGTAAAAAGAATATACCGGCGATGGCTTGTTTTCGCTACAAATACCACGCTCTCTATGCATTCTGGAAAGAAAAAAATCCCCGTCCATATGCTTCCCCACAGAGCACATAAGGAACCAATCGTACAGGGACGCGTCGATCTGGAAGTTAAACTTGCCATGTGACACTGAACACTATAGAATCGCGTGAAATATTACTCGCAACGTCATGTCAAAGACATGACACAGCTTTTTTCCATATCGCCATTCGCCGAGTTCTTTG